CATTTAAAAACTGGACATAAATTTTGGGAAACTTAGATGCTGAACATAATTGTTTGATCATAAAATTTTTTTAATCTAATAATTGGCCATACATTTTTATGGCATAACTTTTAGGCCATTTAAAAATTGGATGCCCATTTCGGTTATTTGAAAAATGGACAAAAATGTTTGGTCTCTTGAAACCCAAACAAATATTTATGGCGGTGACAAGCACAAATATCGTTTCACCTTTGACAGATGGATAAAAATATTGACAGTAAAAACTGATGAATGTTAAAAATCTATAACAAGCTTCAAAAGGCTACTCTGGTGGAATGCATTACATGCGCAGTTGTTTATGTTCAATTTCCCAGGTCTTTTTTCAATTTAATTGCCACTATGATTTACATCAAATTTTCAGACAAAAAAAATTGTATGTCCTATTTTTATGCGGCCATAAATTTATGTCGAGTTTTAAAATTACCAAAAATTTATGTGCAGTTCTTAAATTTCCAAAAACTATTGGCCAGTTCTTCAACTGTACAAAAAATTTATGACCAGCTTTTGAGTTAACAAACATATAGATTCAGCTTTTAATTTAATTTGTTAGCCGTTGGGCTGTCAATAAAAATGGACTCGTAAAAAAAAATTACTTACATTGCCATAACTCCTCATTGTGGAAGGACTTAGACTGAATAGACGATTTATGTGATGCGTGGGTGAGCAGCCTGAACTGGTGGTCGACGGCGATATAGATGAGGCCAGCTCTGCGAAAATCGGAGAATGTTCTGCGATACAAGAAAACATATTTACATTGGAATTTAATTTACAAGTTATTTTGTAAAACCCGCACCAAACTCACCGCTCATGTCAATCGAGGGGGACAATTCCCTGGTGAAGCCAAACAAATCGCTGCCACAACTGCCAATGCTGCTGCTACTATTTCCGTTGTTGGTGGTGGTGTTGCCGTTACGCATATCTGCCGAATTCAAGGTAATGCTCGGCTTACGCAAATTCAAAAATTTATGCGCACCGCTGGTGGGTGTGGCTGTAGCTGTCTGTATCGACAAACCGCTGCTGCTGCTATAGTTGCTACCATTGTAGAGCAACGACGATGCCGAGGATAACTGTGAGGATGGCGAGGAGCTGCCACAAACCACATTCGGCAGCTTATGTGACTCCAATGGTGAAGCGGATTTCGGAAATGAGCTGGACGCATGAAGCGACTGTGTCGGCGTAGCCGTATGGCGCTTTAGCAGTATCGGCGCAGGTGGCAGCTGTGATGGTGAATGTTTATAATAAGTAGAAGAAGCAGCGGCACCACCCACGCCACCATTGCAAGCATTTTGTAAG